TCCAAAATTAATTATTCCGGAAAAAGCTTTTATTTTATCCACGATATGTATGTTCTCTATGATGCGAGAGGGACTGTTTTGATTTTTAACTGTTTCACAATGTTTGGCATTGTCTCTATGAACCTGTTATTCTTCCAATCCACACTAAAAAACTTCTTACTGGACGAACAAAACAGTCGCGGGGTTAATTTATAAATTCTTCTCTATGTTGTGATTTAGTTATCATTTTGTGCTAATACACTTCTAACTGTTGAAAAAAAGTTTATTTTATATGGACAAAAACTAACGTTCGATACGAAAGTGAAGTCATAAATTTATTATGATTATTATTATCATTATTATTATTATCATCATTATTATTAGTATATTTCATTATTATTATTATTATTATTATTATTATTATTATTTTCATTATTCACAGTATCAACTGGTCGGTATGTCAACCACACACAAGAATGATGACCAGGTGTGTGGTTGCTTTACTGAAGGTTCAGATGGCTTCTGACAAAACGGCATGTATTCAAAATTACTGACTTTTGCATATTGTATCGCAATGAAAACACTCTAGTGCCCGAAGTGTCATTTTCGGGGTCACTCCTGTAGCTGATATTATTATAGGCACAGTTCTTACTTTCCTGAAGTTCCACTGAGCTGCGACTTCATGGGCGAGATCGGTATACTTCTGGATCTTCTCTTTATATTTTTCCGATATGTTTTGGGTATTGAGTGTTGATATATCGATAAGGAAAACCTGCTGATGGTTTCTATCAATGTAAGTTATATCGGGTCTATTGCCGCCGACATGTCTGTCAGTGATAATGGAGCGATCCCAGTAGAGTGTGTGCTCACTACTTTCAAGCACATTCTGAGGCACATATTTATAATATGGCATGGAAGTAGCGAGTAATCCCGTTTTCAATGCCAATAATTGGTGGCATCAAAATGTAACGTGTAAATGTAATGTGCAACAAAATGCAGCGTGTGTGATTTATCTGTTGTTTTCATGTATGTATGTATGTGTGTATGTGTTTTCTTGTTCACTTGAAATACGAAAACCGTTTGGTTTTAGGAGATTTAATTTGATTTTTACTCACCACCCAGCTAAAAAACAGCCCAACTGAGATAGAAAACAGCCTAACTGAGAATTCATATAAAAACGAGCCAAGTACAAATTATCATAACATTCGGAATTTTTGTATAAAGTGGATGAATTCCCTCTTCCTGAATTATCGAAATATTATCTTTATAAAGGTTTAGATGAAAATGGAATTCATTCCCTCCACTTATCCCATGCAGTCGGAAGATCATAACAATGATTTAATATTTAAAAAAGGGAAAATTTCAAAGCTCGCTGTGGACTTAAGTTCCATAAAATTGGATAAATGTGTTAGAAGCCAGGACGTTTTTTAAAATAAAAAAATCCAAATTGGATGATTGTTTTCGTTTTTGTTGTAAATTTCTCATCTAGTTCTTATGTACAAAATGAAAATCAAAGTCTTTGAAATCCCGCGTTCTGTTTCGCGAAGTGTGGAAAAGCGAGCGAGTGCTCGGTCTAACGAGACGGATGCGAAATAATTGCGTTGCGGAGCTGGGCTGCAGGGGGCGCGGGCCCGTCGCGCGTGGCCGCCTGGCAGGCGCCGCCCGCGGAAGAGGCGCATACGGGATCTCTAATGAGGCCATAATAGTTCCCTTTAAAAGCTCGGCGTGTGCGCGCCCGCTTTTGATCTCGGCCGCGCCGGGGCCGGGGCCTGGGCCGGAGACGGAGACGGAGACGGTGGCGGAGGCGGAGGCGGAGACGGAGGGGGAAGGTGAGGGCTGGGCTGGGGAGGCGTCGCGATCGCCTGCCCGCGCCCCGCCGCGCGCCGTCAGGAGAGTGCTCCGCGCCAATCTCCCTCACCACGCGCCGCCATTGGCCCACAATCGCACATTCTGCATCCACCCGCCCCGCCCTCCAGCCACGCTAGCCCCACCCGGTTCTCGCTTCCACTCTACTCAACACGCTCGCCGGCCCGGCTCAGACCCGTCCCTCTTCCATCTCCAGCCTTCATTTTTTAAACCCCGCTTAAAACAGTTCTCACCGCGTCCTGATCCTTTGCTCCGCGGAATCCAATCCTGTTTTTCGCGTGCCCGCGACTCTCCGCCGTTACTGTTCGTCTTGCTTCGTCCCGTTCCGTCCCGTCCCGTCCGGGCGCTCTCCCTTCCCCCGCCCCGCCGCCTCCCGCTCGCCGCCGCCCCGCCCCCCCGCCCGCGTCTCACCCCACCGCGCGAACCGGCGCCAGTTTCTATATCCATTCGTCCCTCTTCTTCTTTTTCCGTGTTTTTCTTTCCATCCCACTTTGCTTGCTTCCCGATCTCGGCTCGCATCTCTTCGCGCGGCGTCAGCGCGGTGCGCCTTCGCTGTCCCGCTTCGCGCCGTAGTTGTCATCGCCACCGCCTCCGCCTAGACCTCGCTGCTTCCGCCTTCGACACTTCCTCGCCCTCCCCCTCTCCATTATCGTTATGCCGACTTCCTTTTGCTGGGCCCGCCCTCTTCCGCCTCTACTGTTTCACGGCTCGTCCATCCTCCCAACGCTTTTCTAGTGAGTGATACCCCTGGGCGCGGAGGCTCTTGTACCTTTCCCGAACCGGATGACGCACAATACATTACATCGCACCCTTCGCGTCCTGGACACCCCTCCAAATTGGGGGCCTTTTCAGGAAGCAAAGTTTTCCAATTTAGAGGGTTTTTCCGTTTTACCCGGCGCTTGACTTCCCCGTTGCGTGTTCACCCAGTTGTAACCAGCGCTCCTCATTGAGTTCATCACGACTCCTGTACTTTACACATTTTCTCTCATTAACTTTTCTCTCTTCATTTATCTTCTACTTTGTTCGCCAGGGTCTAGTACGTTCGCGTCTCATAACTAAATATTAGTGGTTCTATAACAGCATACACTTCGTCGCATTATTTCTAACGCTTACGTAATATTATACTAAATGTCATTAGGCGAAAATTTGCATATTTTATCTCGGCTGTTTATCTTTTTTCACCAGTGATGGCTATTTCACTTGGGGATCATCTTAATGAAGTAACATATGCCTTTGCCAGCCGGCAAAAATATTTATTATTGGTTCCGGGACAAGCCGCGTCTCTGTCGTGGGGGCTGACGTTTCTGTCAACAAATTGTGGCCTTCCTCAGGGCGTACGGACACAATATGTTTTCAGCAACCACGACAGAGACGCGGCTCGTCTTGGATATCCTAGATACTACAAACTCTATCTGCGGAAGACTACGCTATCACAGAAAGATTTGTTCGGTCTAGGATTTATACATTTTGATACATATTTCTGCGTTCAACATAATAACCAATACGCTGTCACGATAACGCCCTCTCAGAGTAAATCGAGAGTTTATCCAAAGCGAGTTGCACATGACTCCGGCACCATTCTGGATTGCTGGTAAGCTTCCAATTTGCGAAACGCCCCTCCTCCCAGGCTAATTGATAGATATTCTCCTAGAGCATTGCATTACGGTGTAACTAGATACCAGCCTGACGTGTGTCTTTGCGCAACGGAAGGGAACTAAGAATACTCCAAAAGGCTAGGTGCCGCTCCTGGGGAGGGGGGGGGGCTGAATACCCCCTAGTACTTACAAAGCAGTTATATTGTAATTAAACTCAATTTCGGCCACTCGGAGAACCTGACGCATGCATAAAATGCATATGAATATTCAAAAATGTAAGAAAAGACACTTTCGTCATAGAATTCAAAGTTGTGTACCCTATCTAAACAAAATTTTAAAGAAAATATTGTACCTTTTCGGAGAAATATTGTTTATGTATTTGTGGGTACAATTGTCACGATTGCATGCAAAATTACTCGATATACCGAAAACTACTCATATACCGAAAAAACAGACGTTAACAAAGTTAAACTTTCAATTTTCGAAAATTCGGAGATTTTAATGGAAACTGAACCTATACTATATTTATTAGTGCACTGTTTTTAAATTCAGGCAAACTATTATATAAAAAATTGTAAATTTTAATTTGCTTTCCATTTAGTTTAGTTTTGAAAAATGTTTGTTTTTGTCTGTGTTGAAGTAAGATACTGAAATACATTTTTTTCCATTGTGCTTATTCTCACACCCATGCTTCTCAGAATAATTCTCATCACTATTTTTGTATCATCCCTCTTCTCTCTTTGGACTATGTTTACACGACGCCTCTTTGCGATACCAAATTTCATTCCTGATGCTGCCTCGTGTACTGAGACATAACTTTATTCTTTTGTAATCTTCAATAAATTTCGATTTGTTGTTTGCATAATGACGGTAAAATCAGCATATTTAATACCTTAAAAAGTAAATAAGGCTTCAAAAGCCCTAGAAATGCACGTCCTTTACTTTAAAGATTACCCACTTGGCTCAGAAAACTGTCAAGATGCCCAAGATTTCCAATTCTGGGGGTTGCATGGGCTTTGCAGCAATTATAACATAATAATAAAAAAAAAACGCGTGCTCGGATGGCAGAACCTTGTGTGATATTACACGTGATTGATTTGTGTAAAAAATTGTGTGAAAAGAGACTGTATTAATTCAGATGTGTATTTCTTTCACCCCTGCACCTTCTCTCCAATTTTAACATCCATCCGTTTTCTTTACTTCGTGTTCCATTCTCTAGTACTCAGCCCACGCTAGTCCTCACAGTCTCTCTTTTCCTCTTCGCGTTCCGTCGTTCCGCGTCCCTCTCCCACCGCCCGACGCCACCGCAGCATGGCGCACTAGCGCGAGCTGTCACCCGCTCTCTCCGCCCGGCCCGCCCGCCCGGCGCCTGGCTGGCTCCGGGCAGCGCGCGCTGAGTGCGGCTGTTGGTTGCAGGCCGTCGCTGTCGCGCTGATGGGCGTGGTGTCTCGCGCGCGCCCGGCCCCCACGAGCACGCCCCGCCCCGGCGCGGCGCCGCCCCCGCCCCGAGCGGCGGCGCGACGCGCCCTCCCCGCCGGCGCGCCGCCCGGCCGAGCCGAGGCCGCTCGCCGCCCGCCGCCCAAGCTGCGCAGTCGCCGCCGCCCGCGCTGCCGGAGACGGCGGACTTGTGGGCGCGTGCGTGTGCCATCTGGAGCTGTGCATCGGGTGGTACCCGTGCGGACCTCAAGTAATGCAAGGGCAAGGGGGACGCGAAGGCCGCGGCGGCGTCAGCTACCGCTGCGGCATCAAGACGTGAAGAAGTGCAGCCTGTTCGCCTACTACGTCCGTCAGAACAGCTTGTGCCTCTGGGACGAATGACCCAGGGCTACAGCTGACGCGACGCGCCAGGCGGCGTCACGTGAGCTGTGCGTCACCCGCGTGATTCTCCTCCCGAGGCCCCTCGCCGGCCTCCTTCCTTGCCGAAAATCTTGCTGCCTCGGTTTTTCGCCCAGCGGACAGACTCTTTCGAGCGGCTGGGCGCGCGGGCCCGCTTGCGGCGCCGCCGGCGCGCCCGCCGCGCCGCCCGCGTCACGTGCTACGTCGCGTCGCGTCACGTCACGTCACGTCTTCTTGCGCTTCCTACGGCCCGCGCCGGCCCCCACCCACGGCTGCAGCCGCCAGTGTCTCTCGTCACACAAAAGAAGGGACGTCGCAGTCCCGGTGCCATTTCTCTCGCATGCCAGCCGACGGTCCCGATCGGCCCCGCGGCCCGGGCCGCCGCCGGCCGCCGCGCGCCCCGCCGCCCGGCGGGAGCGCCGGCCATCGACACTTCTACCCCTTTCATTGACAAGCGTTTTGTACTCGTTCTTTTGTAATAAATTCATTGCTGTATAGTTGCTGTTTTATGGGAAGTGAACCCACACTGTGTCTCTTCTCCCTTTAGCTCCTTTGATTTTCCTGATGTTTTCTGTTTTTCTAGATGCCCAGAGAAAGGAGAACCACCTGAAACGTTTACCTCGGGAAAGAGTACGAGCGAGCACGTTTTCATAGCGCATGTACAGGTCTATGAACATGTGTCAAATAAAAGTACTAAAATTCTTCATATGAACGTGCGTGAACATAATGTGCATCTAATTCCAGCAGGCAGTGCACGAAGAAATGCGCGAAGTGAAGGAGTTCTTCGCGCGCGTTGGTCGCCTAATGGAACATTCTTCATGCTAATCTTTTCCGATCATGTTATCGTTATGTTCTGTTTAGTCATATTACTGGTCACTGACAAGGCGGGATTTGTAGAGGTATCATCATTGACCATAACAATCACATTGGGCCCACGCGAAACCTTAATGCAGTCAAGATATTATGCAGAGGTTGATTCTAAACGTTCGGGGTCGCATCATTCCTGATCATCTTGTTGGCCCTTATCCTTTCCCTCCGTCGGAATGGACACGCTCATGTAGAATTCCTCAGGACTCATTTAGCGGATACTGAGTGCACATTTCAATCATCACACTCCGCAAACAAGGAATGACCGCAAGCCACGATTCATTGAGAGGCCTGCCAGATCACTCAATTCGAATACAATGTATTTCTCAGTGGGAACATGTGAAGACCTTCGTTAATGTTTCTTCTGAATTCTAATGTTAACGACCTGAATCACCGTATCCAAGAACAAATAAGGAACCATTGAGAAGTTTTCAACAGGTTGCGAGAAAACTTGGAACGTAGACTCAAGGGGACAGGGAATCCTAAGAGGTCAGTTCAATTTTTGTAAAATAATTTTATGTTTTCTAACCGGTTGATTCGCATTAATTTTTAATGTGTTGCTTCAAACAGTTCTGGGAATAGTGTTGTTAAACCTGCATTTGAGTGAACGAAATACAAAATAAGTTTTGCAAAAAGAACATTACTTTGCAAACAAAATAACATTTCGCAAACAAAAAACATGAAAATTATTTCCCTTGTATTTGCTACAAGTATTGCGCGAGTAATAACTTCACACAAAGCTTTCGGTTCCGTGCAATGATCGGCTTCTTTGTTCGTTTACATACGATAGGTATTACATCTGTTGTCCAAGTCTCTACCTTGAAATTACTATTACTAAATTACTAAACATTGGTTGACAGCAAAACATATATCCGTCTGTGTTGTCAACGCTATCCCCTAAACAGTTCAGTGGATTTTCTCCAGAATTGATGTTCCTCAATCGATCTAAAGGGAGACCCTGCAAGTTTGGAACGGTTATTTTGGTTATGGAGTGTTCTTTACATGAAGCTCTAACTACATTTTCAACATTTCTATTCCTGAGTTCGAATCCCAGCGCCGAGAAGAAGTTTTTCTGGTTGGAAACAGTTGTGCTGAGTACTGGTGAGTACTAGAATATTGCGTAGCCATTATAAATAATGCTACGCCAAGTACGTTCTCTTTTAGCATCCCTAGTTCCATGTGCGTCAGATCATATGAATGAAATACCACGAATTACGTAGTTTCCAATAATACTGTTCGTGCGGAAACCACGGAAGTACGTTACACAAATTATGCAATTATGAGAAATATGCAGTGTAATTTACAATCAATTTAAACCAGGAACAAATTGATAAATTTGAAGTAATTTAAATATCTATAAAATGCTATTTTTTGAACACACAAAACAATTTATAACAATATCATGCTTAGTAGCTACAGGCTTACAACTATATTAGACAATTGTGAAACTGGGAACGAATTCCACCGCAAGTGTACAAATTTCAACCTTAATCTGTGATGGATTGTGAAATTTATGATGTGAATTATAAAATTTAAGCCATCTACACATTTCTGAACTGCCGACATTCATTAAAATTTTAAGGGAAAATGGATACGCAACAAGCATTTAAAAATATGAGAATGATACATAGAGGGTTATAATCCTATCAATTAAATTGGAGAGATCATTTTATATTCATTCTAACTGACCACTTAAGTTTCATTATGTTAGGAAATATGTTTTTTCAATTAGTGGATGTAATTACTAAATCAAATTAAAGATTTAATTTCGTGGCACTTCTTTTGTAAAATACGTTATTTACGGTCCTTGATAGGCGGGTGTTGCGTATAAAACCAATATTGATTGAGAAAGAATGAAACAAATTTTGTTCCTATTTAAAACTGACAGTAATAATAATAATAATTAATAACAACAACATCAACTCCACCTACGGAGTACACGACCTTCTAGTTTGTGGTGGAGCTTGAGTACCTCCATGAGCCTGCAAGCTATGTCAGTGGTAGCCTAGCTACGGGCAGGGCCCCCCTTACTGAATAGATTGAAGGTGAGGGGTCAGACGAAGAAGTACTCCAGAGAAGTGTGGGAAGTAAGTAGAGAAGGGAAGTGTAATGAACCTTTATACTTCCTGTTATTGGCCCATGGAGGGTACAGGACAGAAAATTGACAAATCAGGTCACTTATTAGTGGAGGCCCGATTCTTGCATAAGCCAACGAAGGAGTCTCGCTTCAGCAGTTAGTAAAAATCGCGTAGGGTTTAGTAATGCCGAGTGGTTATCGGAGGGACCCCTTGCTGGGCCCTGTGGGGGATGTCCCTGTGGGTCACAGTAACTGATGACAGGACATAACCCTTGGGTTAAGTGTGGTCTGTGAACTATAGCATGGGTTAAGTGTGATCTCGAACGTGCTTCCTGCGAATCTTCACTTAAAACCAATGAGCTAAATGGATACGAACAAGAAATGTAATGAATCTGAACGTGCCTTGTTCTACCAATGTCCAATATCTGCTCAGAAACCAAGCTAATATCACCTTGTCGACGTCTGGCTCTCCCACGGATGTTACTTCTAGGGACTCGGAGTCAGCTGTGGCTCAAAGCCACCGTCAGAGATGGTCACAGGATGAATTGAAGGAAGTGATGTGATGCTTTTCCTATACAAAAGCGAAAAATGGGTACTCGAAAATAAACGTTTTCAAGAAATGGCGAGAGCAGAGCCCAGATATGAGACCTACTCTAGATTCAAAGAAGCTTGCCAGTCAACGACGTTACATACTCAGCAGTGGAAAATCCACAGCAGAACAACTGGCTGACATTCAGTGAAATGCGGAGTGTGCTCGTCGATTGAACTATCCTCATGACGAACATCTAGACCTTGAAAACGGTGGTCTTCATGAAGTTTCGTCTCTTTCCAATGAAACATACGTCAGAGGTGAAAATTCATCTGTCAATGAATCCCACGAATATGACATGATGCGAAATCTCCTTCGTCGCGAGATAGAAAGAGCTCTTCAACTTCTATTGGAATCTCGTGCACCGTTGAGAATATACGAAAATGCCAAAGCTAAGAGTGACAGAGATGGCGAAATCTGTCTTTAATTAGGTGGTACAGACCCCAGGGAAAGATCTATATATTACTGAAATCAATCACATTATGTATGCAACTGGATATCTGCTACGTATCTCATTATTTTGGGGCCAGACAAGAACACCGACCGCCGACAGCAAAATAAAGTTAACAGCTCTGTATCAACATAGGAAAATAATTATGAAACGGATAGACGACACTCGGCATGAAATGTCACTCTTCGTCGAGACATCTTCTATATCAACGCATACCTATGAAGTTTAGCGAACAATATTGAATGTTGAACAAAAATACTAAATTGAAAATAGCACAAACAGTCTAATGATAGTTGAGAAGCTAAAAGAAAAAAAAACAAGCATGGGCTCAACGAATTAGACGTTACAAATGTAGAATAGATTTCCGTGTACAGCATCGGTTGTTTGAAACAGCCGCGAAGAGATTCTATCGCAATCTCACTCCAACACCGAATGGCAATGCTGTCACGCCTTCAAATGATGACGTCGAAGCATATTGGGCAGGAATCTGGGATGAAAGCAGATCCTACAACAAAGACGCATCTTGGCTTTAATCTGAAGCTGATGCTGCCGATGAACGTGAAGCAGTGGAGCATGTTCACAAATTCTCGGAAGAGGACCTCTTGCAATATTTTGTTGGCTCTCCGGGAGCCGCGTCCAGAGGACTGGTGCCTGTCTGCCGGATAGCCAAGTATATACTGACTCCGGCCGCGGAAGCCTACGGTCTGACCTCTTCCCAATTGTTAAGAACATGATAACTGGAAATCCCGCGGGATTGACAATATCCAGAGTTATTGGATTGAAAAATTAACAGCAGTACATTCTCATCTCGCAAAGGCTGTTAATAAAATTTTAGAAAACCGGAAAGGAACACCGAAATGGGTCACATGCGGCATCACGTATTTGCTACCCAAAGCGGGAGAGAGCTCTTTGACGAAGCACTACAGGCCAATCACTTGTCTGCCAGTACTGTACAAAGTTACAACTGCAGACATAACTGACAAAATGTCCAGACTCCT